AACAGAAGCATTTTAAAGCTACAAAGGCATTGAATTTGTTTAGAACTGAGGAAATGGTAGTGGAAATGTAATCACAGAATGACCAAAACCTGTCCTGAAAATCATTCCTGTTACTTCTCTGTACATGAACTGCAGACGGGTGATGTTTTATTGCAGTTATTACTCTCTAGTAGAGTTCCTAAGAAGCACTCTGGCCTGGGAATTTAAATAATTTGTTAATGGATGTTGGAAGAAATTTTAGAGTTGTAATCCTTTTCTTTTAAGCTATGGAGATGGCTGAATAAAACGGGAGAATCATAAGTCAGCTTTCCAAATCGGGAAGGTTTTCAGATGCCAAAGTCACGACTTAAAGATGAAGATGTTGCTACTGAGGAGTTTCTGTCCTACTAAGCTTTTGCCTCCATGTTTAATGAAGCAGGTTAAGTCATTATCAGTAGATATGTGGTTCCCCCCGGTTGCAAGAACAGTTAATGTTTAGTTGTCGTGTGTGGATTGAATTCTCCCAGTGAAACAAACAGTGCTGCACACATCACCCAAACGTCTGAGTCGCCTCCCCCTCCTTTCCTCTCTGCCTCTTTCAGCTCACTGAACTGAGTGAAATGTCTTTCCGACTAAATGATTTTTTTTTTTTGTTGCACGGTGGAAAGTTGCCATGGAGACAGCACCCCCCTCCTCCCCCCATTTCACCACATCCTCTCATTTTTCTTAGTCTTCAGTGTTAAAAGCTAACTGGTGGGTTGTCACATGTGCCTGCCTGTGTGTGTGTGTGGTCTGAATGTGGCCCATTATCAGTGTCTTTATAAATCCCCATCCTCCACACATCCAGCGTGCCGCTTTCTCCTCTGCTGCTCCAGGTTTTCCCACTCCTGCTCTCCTCTTCTTCCTCCTCCTCTGCCGCCTCCTCGCTCTCGTCATCCTCTTTTCATTTGTTTAATCCTCTCCTACTCCTCCTTCCCCGTCGTTTCCCTGCTCATGTGATCTTCCGCTTCTGTCTGCTGAAATATTGGACTAGCAAACTGCCACTGGTTTGCTTTGTTTTCGCTGTAGCAGAGATGGTTGGAAGGGCAGTAACCACACAACAAACAGTGCAGAAGTTGAGGTGGTAGGCTCCAGCAATGGTGCTATATTTTGGGGTCGTGATGTAGAATTCATGACAATTACACACTTAATGCACAGCAGAAAGTCTAGAGAGCTCTTCTGCAGGTAGAGCATGTTAATCCTAATACTTCAGTTAATTACATTGGGTAAAAATCTGATATCCCTCTCAGCTTCACATTTGATACACTGCCTGGAGGCGTGATGCAACAGTTAAAGAGAATCAGAAGCACAAGAGTGGATGATACATATCCTTTTATTTCCATTATTGTTGCTTCAGCCACACTGTTACTTACACATTCACCGACACCCCGTGACCTTTCCTGACTGAAACAATCGCCCTCGCTCCGAATCTCACCAACAACCAATTAAAAAAGTAAACTTCTTGAATAAATTATATATATATATATATATAAAAAAAACAACTGTAAACCAACAGAGAAAGGAATACTGGTAAACACAGCATAAACGTCATTTTCATCATCGTTGTTTTTTTCAACAACAGAGATTAAACAACTGCAAGGTCTCCATTTAGTCGTCATTAGTAGTATTAGTATCAAGTTCATTGTCAGATTTTGCTTAAAGCATCACTTTATAGAATTTTTCATTGCATCAAGTTGACATCATTCGTGTTAATATAAGCATGCAAACAGGTTTCCCCATGACCATTCGGGACTGCACGAACAAGAGAAGACAGCAGGAGAGAGAGGAGGGCGGAAGGAGCAAACAATAAGGGAGACAAGATGGAGGGCTGGGGGGGGGGGGGGGGGGGGGGGGGAGAGCAGGTGAAATGGATAAGAGCAGGAGAGAGCCAGAGTAATCAGACAGACAGAAACAGAGAGAGGGAGGAGGAAGCTGTGGGGGGGCAGTAAGAAAGGAGCTAAACAGGGCTGACAGAGTAGGAAAGAGGGGGAATTATGGACCTATGAATCAATATCGCCTTCTACGAGCTGAGTGATCATCCCCTGACCGGCAAAACACAGCCACCACAGAGCATGGGACCCGACTTCCTTCATCTGGAAGTAAAGGAAACCAGGACACACTCCTGAGAAAAGGTGTTTCTGCAGGGGAAGAGTAGAGGAAAGTGGTAAAAATCCACCAAGCTGTGCTGAGGTGTTGCACCGTTCTGCTGAGGTTCGGTCATATTTGCAGTGACAGGGATGGCTTTCTAGGTCTGTATTCAATAAATGCAGAAGTGTCTGCTATTTTCTCCTTCCTCCATATCAACGGTCTCTTTTATATAGATCAAAAATGTATGGAAGCCCATATTCTGCCATTTTAAAGGGAAATAATAGAAATGTTATATTTTGTTTCTGGAATATTACTTTCAATTTGACCTTCAACCCCACAGTAATTGAACTAATTCTGTGTGGTTCTCAGACCAAGCAGAGGATACATGAAACAGCACATACCCCAAATTTAATCTAGTCTTCCTCTGTTTCACTTTAAATGGCTTCACTGGTCTTAAAACCGACTTTCATCGTTTTGCATGACTTTGCTCATTATGTTTGTTTGATATGAAGGGCGGCACTACGTCTGTGAAAACGAGCCAAAACTAATTCGTTTATAGGAGCTATTGGTCTGGTTTTGATTAGATTACAAAACCAAAAACCCTAAGTATTAGCCATAAAACAAACATATTTAATTTTGTTTTTTATTGAGCCAAACTTTGAATTTAATCTTTGACTCGTCAAGTTAAAAAAACAATACAGGTTTTTATGTATTTATATCTGACTTTTTTTCTTGAACTGAAGGGATGATTTCAAAAAGTATCCTCTGGTTGGTCATTCAGCTCCTTCTGATAACTCCTCCTCCGAGTTCACAGACCGAGGCAGAACTTCAGAGTCTATAAAACCAGAGAATTTCCCAAGTCAGACATGTCTATTCTAGTGTGACCAAACATTCTGATTTTTTCGGGACAGTTCCACTTTTTTCACTTCTGTCACACAAATCAAAGTCATGTCCTGCATTTGACTGGGTTAAAACGGAAAACAAGATATAAAATATATTTAAAGGCTTTTCCAAAGTTCAAATAAAGCAGAGCAGCAGTTATTGTCAATGAGCCATCAAGACAAACCTGCACACAATGGTCTTAAAACAGAAGAAGCAAAGGATTTTATTACAAAATATGATGAAAATTACATTTAAAGTAAAGAAAATGCACCACGGCAAAGACTGTGGAACAGTTCATCATGGGTGAGGCCAGTGAAACGTGGTTCTCAGAGAACCTTTTGTTGAATTTGAGGGGAGTACAACGTAACGCTGGCAAAGTGAGTCAAAAAAGAAACTTGGAGCTCAAAAAGCCACATCTGTCCCTGATTGTCCCTCATAAGCAGTTTAGTTGTCCCACATTTGTTTTTTGAAGATCTGGCCAGCCTGTTGGGTTTTGGTTGCACTGTATGCTTTTTCATCAATGCAGCCTGGGCATGTGCTCAGTGTAATTATTACTATTATTATTATAATTTTTTTTTTTTATTAAACCACATTTGCTTTATATCGACGGTTACCAACTGTATTTTTATCATTCTAAAAAACTTTGATTCCAAACAAAATAAAAAACTTCAGGGATATTTTTTTTATTATTTGTTTGGATGCTTAGTAAAAAAAAAAAAATTAATTGGGAAGGTTAGGTTAAAAAAATTATCTTGTGTTTATAAGTTTTAATCTCATTATAATGATATTTTAAACCTGCTGTTCCTTTTGAAGCCATGATTACATCTAAAATAGAAATGGTTTTATGTTTGTTACTTTGAAGCTAATCTCTTTAATTTAATTCACTTTTTATAATATAAAGAATTTAAGCAAAGTTTATGTCTGAATCTCACATTTATGATTTTTAAAACTGTACCTTTTTTCTTATATTTTGTTTTTTATCCAAAATGTTTTTAATCAAGTCAATGACTGAATCCCAGATTCATAACTTTTAAAATCCTGATTTAGTTTCTACTTAATTCTTAAATAATGATGATGTTAAAACTTCAAAATATTACTACAATATCTCTGCAATATTACATTGAGGATGATGTTGTCTCATCAGTTCAATGAATCTCTTAACCCTGACATAATTTTTTTTTTTTTTACCTCATATTTATGATTTAATTTGTACAAAAAGGCATATTTGTTTCTGTCTCACAATGTGTGTTCATCACATTGTGGGTTGGACAGTTTAACCTTTTTAATTCTGACTTTTAAACCTACAGTCATGATATCGCAGGGGATTCTTTTCTTTTTGAATTGGCAGAAATAGGCTTCCATACTTTTAGTCATCGGCCCATAAATCAGCAGCATTTTCCATCTATTTCTAGTTGTTGTGTTCTTTTAAATAATTAGAAGCATAATACACTGACTCTTCAGCACTTTCAGTCCCCTATTAATTCTTACCTCGAACAAAGAGCACATGAATTAGTGAAAGAAGTACACGATTAACACAGTTACTTACATCAGGCAAAAGGGTTCAAGGGGAGAGGAGGGCTGACTGGTGACTGGCAGCAGTTTTCCGAGACAACATAGACAACAAAAACTAACGCCTATCAAAGACGGTGCTTCCCCACCTATAGTGCAATGAGGCACGAGTAGAACACACATTCACATCTTCCGTCTCTCACAGCCACACACACATTCCCACACATTTAATTACTCCCTTTAGAGACACAGAACAAGACAAAGTTTGGCTCTGAGGCAAACTTTTCAGTGCAGATGCCTGGATTTTAGGTGTGAGAACAGAAAAATGATGGTGAGGGGGACGACAAAGGTGAGTACAGATACGTGTCAAACATACACACACAGACGCACACAAGTACAAAACAAACACGCCCACAAACACTGAAACACACACTGATAAAAGCAACACAGAAGTGTGTGTCCTTCTAGCGTCCTGTCAGAGACATTACATGGACAATTTGATCCTCTGACGTGTGTCAAAGACTTTTTCTGTTCTTTTTCTTCTTTTTTTTTCTTCTCTCAACTGAGAAAGCAAAAGATTAAGTCCTGGAATGATAGAAAAATAACTGAGTGGTGATACATCGTCCAGAGAGCGCGCTCCAAAAAGTCCAATCCAAATGCAGGATCCTGTAAACCTGTAAAAAGTATGGTGATCATATAGTCTGTCTCTCTGAAGCTGGTCGTCGATAGGACTGTAAAAACGTGAACAATCTTCCCTCCTGACGGATGTTTGCGTTCTCTATCACAGAACTGATAGCAAAAGATGATCTTTGAAAAACAAAACAAACAAAAAAAACAAGAAAAAAAACCCCTAATGAGTCCAATTAGGACTGAGATGAAGAGCATGACGAAGAGGGACACATTTCAGGTTGCGTAACGTGCCAAGACCAATGAGTCTGTCCTCATTTATCCCTCCTCTGACATCAATAATAACCCGACGGATGCTGCAACTTCTTCCCTCTGGGCGGGGGCATCCAAACGGGCCTGGATGGTTTTGTCCCATTGAGAACTACGCAAGATATATTTATATGTATTTATATATTTTCCTATCCGGTACAGCATAGAACTCTTTGACACAGATTTTTCTCTTGTTAGTCTGTACAAGTGCACAAAGCTTTGGTCCTGGTTGAAATGACCACTCTAAGATGGCTTTCTTTTTTTTTTTTCTTGTTTTCAAGAGAGAAACGCTCTAGAGTGAACTACTACACATATCTGAAGAGCACACGAACTACACACATACTACAAACTCTGTGTATTCATGTGTGTGTGTTTGCATGTGTGTGTGAGTAAGAGAGAGGGAGAGAAGGAAGTGTGCGGAAATCCCAAATTTACACCTGACATCAGTTCTGGGCATGTCGTCTTTGTCCGCACGTGTTTAGGGTTTGAGTCCGATGTTCACACTGCAGCTCGTGATGGAGGACCCCCCCTTCTCTCCTTTAGCTCAGCAAATACAGCACAGAGGTTGGAGGATTCATTAGCAGGAGCAGAACGGCACTAGCAGTCGGACACTGGCAGCGTCTCTGCGTCTCTCTTGTCTTTGATGGAGAGAATTATTCACAGATGAGAGGAGAGGGAAAAAAATGGAAAATCTGGAGCTGTAGAGATGATAATGACCTGAGGAAGGAGAGAATAAAGGAGAAGAGGCGGATTAAGCACGCGTGAGACAGTGGGAGACAAGATGATATATAAACAGCATGGAGTTTTTGCAAGTCAGTGAGGAGGAGGGGGAGATGCATTACATAACCCGTAAAATCTAGATTATACAGATGCTTTAGCCTTAGAGCTGCAACATCTGACAACTTCACAGCCGCTGCTTTATCGTGCTCTCACAGTTTGGTCATGCTTTTTAAGACTTGACTAGATGTCCCCGTGTTAATCGGGCTGGAGAGCATCTGCCACACAGCGGCGGACGTGTGCCGGAATGAAGGAGGCTGAGGCGGTCGCAGGGAAATCATGGAGACTTTCAGCTATTTGTGGAATGCTTGAAGCTAATAAACAGACGAGCGACTCACCGTGTTAATCAGAGTGGGGGCTGTCCACCACAATATGCGGCTTAGGGGAGGGTGTTGTGGCACTCTTTGATACAAAAGTACCAATCGCTTTTTCCTGCAGGGAAGAAAGTCTGCAGTTAATGTTTTATTATGAGAAAATAACAGATTATTTCAACTTTATATTTTTAGAGCTGCAAGTGCTTCATGTCTACTGAGAGGTTTAGAAAAGATAGTGACCCTCAGCTGTGGAAAGAAAATCTACTGAAGACCTGAGGGCAGATGTTCACTCTTCCTTTTCATTTAATTTGAATACAGCTATTTTTAATTATCCTATTTTTATTTTTTTTTACTTTTAAAGTATCTGTATTCATTTTAAATGTATTAGGAATCATGGCAACTACATACTTAATGCTTCATAATATAGTTCTTAACTATTCTAAAAATAATTTGTTAATGTTTTTATTCATTTTCCTACATTCTTTATCTAGGACAGAGTATTAGGTCCAGGCTAGAATTTTTTTCTTTCTATTTTAAAAATAAAGTCGTAAAATTACGAGAATAAAGTAGCAACGAGAATAGTTATAAAATTACGAAAATAAACTCATAAAATTACGAGAATAAAGTCGCAGTAAGAATATTTATAAAATTACAAGAATAAAGTCGTAACATTAGGAGAATAAAGTCGTTACACTAGGAGAATAAAGTCATAAAATAACGAGAATAAAGTAGCAATGAGAGTAGTCATAAAATTACAAAAATAAAGTCATAAAATTACGAGAATGAAGTCATAAAATTATGAGAATAAAGTCATAAAATTACGAGTTTAAAGTCTTAAATTTACGAGAATAAAGTCTTAAGTTTAGGAGAATAAAGTCTTAAGTTTACGGGAATAAAGTCGCAACGAGAGTAGTCATAACATTACGAGAATAAAGTCGTAAAATTACGAGAATAAAGTAATAAAATTACAAAAATAAAGTTGTAACTCTATCAGAATAAAATCATACAATTACGAGAATAAAGTCATAAGTTTACAAGAATAAAGTTGTAAAATTACGAGAATAGTCGCAACGAGAGTAGTCATAACATTACGAGCATAAAGTCGTAAAATTACAAGAATAAAGTAATAAAATTACGAGCATAAAGTCGTAAAATTACAAGAATAAAGTAATAAAATTACGAGAGTAAAGTCGTAAAATTACGAGAATAAAGTCGTAACATTATGAGAATAAAGATGTAAAATTACGAGAATAAAGTCATAAAATTACAAAAATAAAGTCGTAACTCTACCAGAATAAAGTCATAAAAATATGAGAATAAAGTAATAGAATTACGAGAATAAAGTCCAAAAATTACGAGAAACAAGTTGTATTTTATGACAACTCTTACAGGAAGCACCGTCTCCCCTAAAATGAGGAATGTCGAGCATCATGTCAAGTTATACTTTGCCTCTGGTTTCACAAATAAGAAAATCTTTTAGCACCAGAATCAAATTGGGCAGAATGTCAAAGTGGACTCAGGTTGCTAACTGGTGGAGCTGGTCGACCGGCATATGTTGGTTGGAGCTCAAAGATTTCTTTCTGAAAAGGGTTAAGATGGGTATGATGACTTAATTCTCGCAATATTACAACTTTATTCTTGTTATGTTACGACTTTATTCTCATAATATTACAACTTTATTCTCGTAATGTAACGACTTTATTCTCAAAATAAAAAAATCTCTAGTCTGGCTCTAATACTCGGTCGTACTTTATGCCATCCATCTCCTGTGTTTTCTCACTTATCAACACAAAAATGCCTCCGCAGTTTTTCATCCTCTATAATTGATTAGTTTTACTGACGTTTAATTTGTTTTTGTTTTATTTCATCCTTCTTGATTTAATTAGTTTGATAATTTGTCAGATGATTGTCTCCCTTTCTGTTTTTAAATCCACTTTGTGTTCCATATAAAAGTAGGAAACATGATGTGTAATTAAAGTTAGATTGATTCACAATCATTATGGACATAATTTATGTAATTATTGCCTCTAACCATGTTTTTCAAAAAAAGATACAATTTTCTTCTTTATTTTTGCGTATGTTTGAATATGTTTTCATCTTCTCTCAAACATGTGGGTAAAATTAGACTTAGACAGATTTATTTGTCCTTTTGTTTACATAAGTATAAAACAAAAGGAAATTTCATTTGGAAAAGCTCTCTGGACCATTTCATCTTTTTTAAAACCCTTGAAAAATAGTTAAAAGATATATATATATATATATATAAACAGTAATATAAACATATAACTGTAAATTTACAATTCTAACATTTGCATTATTTTTTTATTGTACAGAAAGCCTCTGTTATGTAAAAACATTCACCTTCATCCTTTAATAAGAGGTGCTGAAGGCTCGAAAATTGATTTTATCTTGAGAGGTTTATGGCCTTTCCAGGTAATGATCTAGGCTGCAGCTCATGATTTCTCTTTGAGAGCTTAAGAAAGATTTGTTTAACTCCACTCATTTGATTTCATGGGAGACACCAAATAATTCAGTGAGGCTCTAAGGAGGAGAAATGCAAATCTACAAATTGAGAATATCTATCAAAGCCATTTGTAAACTAATGCAGATCTCATTGCCCTCTGTTCAAACAGCTGTGTGTGACCACAGGTCATGTGTATACGTGTGGTAGCTCTTTTCCAAGGCTGGCTAGAAGATCTGAATCTCCACTTTCAGATACTAAGGACTATAATGGTGGTGGCAGCATAATGCTGCGGGACCGTTTCACGTTCAGTGCTACTGGCGCATTGTACAAATAATCTTTTTTTTTTTTTACTGCAACTTTGTTCACTATATTGAGAACCGTCCAGTGTATCCTTCATTGAGAAGTGGGCTGCTACTTATTCTGGGAGTTTTCTGATCAGAAACCCTGAGATCCAGTCTGTGGAAATCAAACCAGGGATCTAACAGCCTTCCAGGAAAAGGGGCCTGCTCTGACTAATACATCCCACTCCCAGAAATTAGACTATATCCACATTTTAACAGGAAAATAAATGCATAAGCAAACCCAGAATGGTGTCAAATGGATGAAGAAGACTAAGATTAAAGCTGGGTTTATGTTGAACGTGTTTATGAGGCTAGAAGACATCATTTTAGCAGAGGTCAAACAGCCAGATTTTCAGCGTCACACATGTAGAGAAATTTGTAGATAATTATAGCGAGAATTCACAAATATAAACATCTACAGATATCATCTTATATGGCTCATAAATATCACCATATTCAACAAAATGTGAAAACCTCTAAGAAAGAAATTACTGTCATTCTTGGTTGACAGGGACTGAGCCCTTCATCCCCCCTAGAGGTGGACAAAATATTAGGTACAGCAGGGCGAAGCTGCACCAAGTCAAGCATTACCCAGCCATCAGCCATGACAGAATTTGCTCTGAACTTCTCCACTTAGATTTCAGTGGAATTAAAATAGTTTCTTTTCTTAATGTTTTGTTTTCTCCGAGTAATAACATTTTACCTACTACTATTTAGGCTTTTTTGTTAAATAAAGTTAAGCATTTTCATTTCTAAATTTGTTGTCAATTGTTGTTTTAGTTGTTGTAAAAACAAAGACACTAAGACATCCAAATAATACTTTTAATGCATTTAATCATTTGTATCTTTCAGGTATAATAACTAAAACATTAAATAACTATTAGCATAATGTTTATTTCATCTCACAGCCCTACAGCATTAACAGTCTGACATTTAACAAACCAGGAACATTAAAGACACACGATTAAATCGAACAGCAACCTCACTGACAGTGTTGCAGCGTTAGCCACACTTATCGGGGTCAAAATCTACACAAATGCTTCTTCATTACTGTTAAGTTGTTCTTTATTAAGCTATATAAGACAATTAAATGTAAATGCGGCAGCAAAATGAAAGAAAATGTAAGTCAACACATTTTAGTCAGCAGACATTTTACAAAATAAAGATTCTGTCTTTCTTTCAGCCTGTTGATGATAAAAGCTCTTCCTTTCTAGGCTTCAGTTAGAGACAGAGATCCCAGCTTTACTTAACGTCCTCAAATAATGGCAGTTAGTCAGGCCTCCATCTCACGGTTATAGCTGGTGCAAAATCCTCCAAGTTTGTTGGTTTTTTTATGTCTTTAAATAGTTTTATCTCTTCCTATTTAAACTGTTACACCTTCATATTCCATCACATGCTCTTAGATCGTCTGAGAACATGGTTTTAGCAGTCCCAAATACCTTCTAAAAATCCAGAAGAATGAGATGCTGAAGGTCGTGTCTTTGTTGATCCTATCTCTTTTTGTTTTTAAAACTGTTTTAGTTTTTAATTTTGTTTAAAAACACACGTTAATGTTGCAGAGCACAGGTCAGCGTCTATGTTGTATTTTAAGGGCTTTAGAAATAAAATTGGTGTAGTAAAGGTTTCAGCAACTCGCTCTATTTAATTTCCGTCAATATTCAGCTTTACAGGGCATTTGGCTGAGCTGGAGGTATCTTCTGGTTAAAATTGAGTGTTTCCTCTCCACTCTCACTGCATGCATGCTCTGTGTGAGGGATTACTGTAGTGACAGCAAAACACTATCTACTGTCGCCACATGCTCATCCAGGAGTGAATCCTGGGAAATCAATGACTGGATAAAATCAGCTGCTTTTCCTTTGATAAAAACTAAAATCTAATTAAATTGTCTCTATAAAGAACCTTGAGATGACATGTTATAAACTGCCACTATGTTAATTAACTGAAATTGATTTGAATTTCCTGATTTATGCAGCTCAAAAAATATCTTCATGTGATTCATCTTGTTTTTTTCCCCATTTTGAGACTCACAGGAAAATGACTCAGATTGATATAATATTCGTATCTCAGTTAAACACAACATAAGTGTCAGAATGTGTGTCTCAAAACAAAGTTAAAGATGAGCTGGCATGGAGAAAATCGAAACAAAACACCAGGAGTGGCAGACATTAACAGAACTCTGGCATAGCAGAAAAAAAGAGTATTTTCCTGGTGGGGAGTGCAGATAAATGGCAGGCTTAAATAGCAGGCTAACAGGTGGGGAGCATGAGTTAAATGAGTAGCAATGGGTGATCTGAATGAGCTGACTGCATGGTGGCAGAAGCTTAGAGCAGAAACCAAGACCTGAACCAAGCAGACACAAGAACGTCTTCTAATATAGGAGAAAGTTAACAGAAACATAAAAAACAAAAAAATAAGAACCACAAAAAAAAAAAAAAAATCATAGATCAGGCAGGAAATGTAAATAATCATATTTTTGGCCTATTAATGTGCCTACCTCAACGAGCTGATGCCAGTGCTCTATTGGTTTCCGTGGATTTGCCAGCATGGCTGTCCAGTGTTCCCTCCCGGGACCGTCAGCGTCGCTTCCCACTCGACACATGCCTATAACCTCGTTATGACCGATGCTGCCACACAGAGAGGGAGGATCAAACAGGACAGATAGTGCTTCACAAAAAGGAATGGGAGGAGAAAAGAGGCAGGCTCGGTAACATAAAAGAAAAGCATTAAAAAGAAAACAAATCTGACTCATTTATCAACCTTAAGCTTTTGGACAAACCTGACAAACGTCTGGGGGAAGTTGTCAAACACTAGCTCACAATTACAGCTATGGATAAAGCTGCACACCTATGCCAACGCTGTGTCTACACAGCATAATAGGGAGGCGGTGCATTTATACACAAACACATAAAGCAGCCAAGTAATGCTGCAAGGGACTGCGAGATAAATATTGGCAGGGTCGCACGTCTTCTTTCCCTATTAGCATAAATCATGCTTATTCATGAGGTCCTCATCCATGTAAAACAGGAATCATTCACCAGGAGGGTGCTTCTTACGGGGGCCCTCGTCATGTTCGACACCCCAAAAAATCAACATCGTGCTGCATGCACAAAGACGTTTGACAAACAGCTGCTTCCCAGTAACCATCAGTCTGCTGTTAAAGCGCCCGGAGCATGCAGGAACGCAACCATAGCCTGGGCCTGCTCACCAATCATAATCCATCACAGCGATGATGATGGAAACGCTCTCTATGTTTTCATTGGGAATGTCAAACACCAGAGCCTCGTTGTACGTGGGGTTCAGCGTGTTCTTCTTAATGGAGGTCTTCCTCTTTTTTAGCCGCCGGCCGTCGCTTATCAGAGAGGCCTTCACGTACGGGTCTGGAGCACAGACAGGACAGGAGAGAAAGATGGAATTAGGAGGAGAAGGTGGGAGACACATGCAGGGCAGAAGCACAAAGCGTGAGATAAGAGTTTGCATGTATCTGCATCTGTCACACATGAAAGCTGTGCAGGATGGAGTCGCTGAAGCAAAGCTGGATTAGGAACACAAGGGGGGGCAGAACAGGTTAGATTCCTTCAGTATGTGACAGTAGCCAGGAACAATCACACACACCCTACACTGCATGTCTGTATCTTATGATACTCTTAAATCAAGCTGTGATCAATGAGGCAATAATAACTGTAGGCGTAATCTGTTGATGTGTGTAACTTTTATAGATACGAAAAAAACACATCCATGTAATGCATTATTTATTTTCTTATCCTTATTATACTATTTGTTACCTTCCCTGGTCACTGTTGCAGCTACAGGAGCAGGCGATCGATTATGAAGATCATGCAACATGAAATTACTCTGCATGAAGGTTTGTTTGGAAAAGTATTTACACTCCATCGATCTTTATCCATATTTTGGGAAATGAAGTGTGCTTAAAAATTCATTAGAAATAAAATTCTGAAAGGTGTGGCAAGCATTTTGTTTAAAAGTATAGTGGAGCGTGTTCTTTTTGCAGGTGGATCTTCTAAATGTCAATCATTCTGGTGATATGTTTTCGTAAGGCCGTCCTACGAGCTCGTCACCTTTTTTCCCTTACCCGAGGTGAGTCTGACATAGTGGAAAAATTGCAAATCTTCTTTTGGAAAGTAAGCTTATATTAGCCATGCAAACAGCAATTTTTAAACAGAGCGTGCACGAGGAAAAATGGGTTCTTGCATGCTCTCGCACAAGTTTAATAGGCCTTCCTTCTCAAGAGCGGGTACAGGGTTGTGATTTTTTTTTTTTTTTAAGTGGAGAAAATCAATCAATCCATCCATCCATCCATAAAAATGTTCTATTTTTAGTCGAATTGATTACTGCAACAGTGTTTTCACAGGTCTGCCTAAAAAGTGGATCAGACAGCTGCAGCTGATCCAGAATGCTGCTGCCCGTGTCCTCACTAAGACTAAGAAAGTAGAGCACATCACCCCGGTTCTAAAGTCCTTACGCTGGCTCCCTGTATCTCAGAGAATAGACTTTAAAATAGTTCTGTTATTCTATAAATCTCTGAATAGCTCAGCACCTAAATACATCACAGACTTGCTATCAGTGTATCAACCCTCCAGACCACTCAGGTCTTCTGGCTCCAGCCTGCTCTGCATACCTAGAACCAGAACTAAACATGGAGAAGCAGCATTTAGTTCCTATGCTCCACTTATCTGGAACAAACTTCCAGAAAACTGTAAAAGTGCGGAAAGCCTGAGTTCCTTTAATTCAAGACTAAAAACACATTTGTTTAGGATTGCCTTCAACTGATCTAGTTAAACAGTTCAACTAAAACATATTTTCTTTAATCCAACTGTTTTTAATATTCTTTTTTGTTTCTGCATTTTTTATTTTATTTTATTAATTTTTTATATTATTTCTTCCTACTTGCTTTGATTCTGTTTTATCTTCCTGTATTTTAATCATGTAAAGCACTTTGCATTGTCTTTGTACTGAATTGTGCTATACAAATACATTTGCCTTGCCTTGCCTATGACGGCCTGAAGGGAAATTAGAAAAAAAAAAAAAGAGTCCTGGCGGTTAAGGTGCCCAGTAGGCAGCTCAGGAGAAAGCTGAATGATTCACAGTTGTCCAGAGGCTCAAGTTAACTCTGGAGGAGCTGCAGTGATACACAGCTCAGGTGGAGCAATCTGTGAAACTATTAATGGTGCTACTGACAACTCTAACAAATCTAAACTTTATAGAAAAGTGATGAGGTCTAAGCCGAAAGAAATCCTGCTAGCATTTCTATGCCATGTAGGAGACACAATAAACATTTAAAGGATTAGATTAAAGTTGAACTTATTTATAATTAGTGAAAGCATCACAACTGTTAAGCACAGCTGTGACAGAATGATGCTGTGGGGATGCTTTTTAGATTTGAGGTTAAACGCAGCTTTTGAAGGTACCAAAATAATTGAGAAAGGGGCAGAAGTTCACTTCCTGTTGGACAAACACCCCACAAACAGTCTGAGATAAAAGCAAATGGTTTGGGTCAGGGGTGACCTAACCTTGAAAATTAATTTGTGTGGCTGTTTTTTCTTAAAAGGATTATTGGACTTTTGCAGTTTTTTTTTTTTTTTTTCTAAGATTTTCAACCTCTTATCCAAAAGGCTTCTTCAATAATTGTTACACAAAAATTTGCACAAACTTCAGGAGCTTAATAAGGCTGCACAGAAATGAAAACCACACTTTAAATAATAAAAAAAACACTTTCCTGCCGCTTCAAAATCCTGCACAGCTTTCTTTGATGCATCAGAATTATATCCACCCCAATGCAACCAAACTCAAGCCTCTTAGAGAAGAGATGTAGAAAGGAGTGGGTGTTTGGAAGGGACTTAATGAGTGGTGTCTAAATGAAATTGTAACGTGTCATTGCATTAGATTATTATTAGCTGACGAAGCTCCAAATACTACTTCACAGAGAAAACTTTCATGGAAGCATATATTTGAAGAGTGAAACACCAACAGGAGTTTATTGACAGTAACCAAGCTGCTTCCTGTCTCATCCTTCCTGTTAATGCTTCCAGTCAGAGCCGAGCTGGAGGTCCAGCAGCAGCCTGATGACGTGCGATTTATTCACCTGAGAAACCCGTCAGGTCCATGGCTTTGAGGTTGGTGGCCTTGATGATTGTAGCGGTGAGTCTGCCTGCGGTGGGCAGGTAGCACAGCGAGAAATTAAGCTCCCCGAGATCAGCCTTCTCCTGCAGATAAACAGACGAACAGGGATCAGAGACGAGGCGGCGCAGCTTCGATCGCTCACACAGCACGCGAGAAACCGATTCAGCTGGAGAAAACACTGACAGACACAGATCTGATGCTCTGATATGAAAAGATCTACGTCTGTAACAGTAGGAGACTTGATGAGGAGGGTTTAGAGGGAAAGTAGTGTCCCTCCAAACCTTCCAAGTCCTAAAGTGGAGAAAATGTTAGGTAAAAAACAATTATTCCCCTAGATCTGTATGTTTTTATCTCCCTCCACCTCTTCCATCGAGTGAACATTGGTTATGAAATCACTGCTTCTCAGGTCATTCCACAGTGTGAATACTCCTCAGTGGCTTCGAGTCGCACTGATCAATACTTCCCCAAATGAAACACTGGCATAGACAGATGCTTTAAACTTATTTAATAAATTAAACCCTGATGCCAAAAATGTTAAAAGCCCAGCTCCGTCTAATTTGCTAATAGCCTATATGAATATTTCATATAAATCTTGCTGGACATAAACCAATATGAAGTTTGGATTTGGCCAGTAGAGTCCTTCCACTAATCTATACAAACTCTCTTAAGAATATTTTTCACACGACCAGACTTCTAATGAATCCATCCTGCAGGCAGACTCAGAGCCAAAGCCATGGATGGAAACAGTTTGGATGTACCTCACAATCTGAGCATGTCAGCGTTTTCCACTCCCCTCGATCCCAAACTAATCAGAGAAGCAGGAAACAGTTCAACACATTCATTAGGGAAGATCGGATGTCAAAATGAAGCTTGAATGTTTTAATGCTGTGAGAAGGGTGGCGCCTCTCATGGACAAAATGTTGATTTCAGAAGTGGGGGGGGGGGACATAAGTATTTTTTAATATAACGAACTTCAGCATGTTTCAACGTCCAATAACAGACCCGATTCAGTGGCACATCAGATGTTTAGATGAAGGGTAACATTGTTTTTGGACAGTAAAAAAAGTTCAGGGGACCAAAACAGACCTTTGAAAACATGTAGGGGACATATCCCCCCTGACCCCTCCCAAAACGAGCAGACTAGGTTTCCTTGAAAAATCGCTCACATTTCTGACATCAAAATAAAAAATGTATAAAAAAAAAATAAATAAATAAATTTTTTCGTTTGCATGAATATATTGAGCTGTGATCTGTTAAACTATTGATCTTGTTTCACCGCAGGCAAATTTAACATTTTAAAAAGAATCTGCTGAATAAAAATTTTCAAAAATAAATACAACTTATGTGGATTTTCTTAACTAACTAATCCTGATGTGTGTTTATAGTGATCGTGGTTATTTTTCATTTGGGTTATATAAGGTAGATTTTAAGTCCTTAGTTGTCAAGACTTGGTTTAAAGGTTTTTGATTGGACCCAAAAGCAGAAGCTGAGAGGCAGAGGTGAGTTCTTGGAGGGTTTAATGAGAGATCAGGCAAACAAAAAACAGGTATCCAAAAATCCAACTTAAAAATGTTAAACAAAAACAGGAATCCAAAAATCCAACGTAAAAATCAAACACTAACCAGACCCATGGAGGAAAATCATCAAGGAGCCAGGGTGAGGAAAGGTAAGACGAGGAACCAGCAAAGAGGGACTGCAGAGGGAGTGTATTTATGGCTGACTGAACAAAGGTAGAGCTAATGAGCTGATAGGGAACAGGTGTGATTAGAGCTGACGAGGAAGCCAAGGGAAAAGAACACAAGGAGGCAGCAGAGGACAGACAGAAAAACCTAAGCAACTTAAATGAATCCAGACACACCAAAAAGGCTAGAAAACAATGAAAAACCTGGCTAAACTTGAAACAGAAAACTTAAAGAAAAACAACAGAACCAAGATCGTTACATTAGTCGAGTCTCAAGTCGTGACAGGTGACTTTCAAATCAGTTCTGAAGTCTGTGACTTCAAATTTCAAGCCATTTCCATTTTTATTTTCAAACGGAGTTATTATATGCCAAATGTAAATAACTAACCATGTTACTTTTTAAATGTGTATTTTTGTTCAACGCTGTATCAAACTACTGCAGCTAAACAATTTCTAATGAGACAAAATTAGTTAATCTAATAGTAGCAAAAGAAAGAACCACTGACCCATATTTATAAAACGTTCAAACTATGGTTGAAAATGGTTCAGTCCCTTTCTGCAATTCTTTTCTTGCATGGTTTGCAAATTACCTTTCATTTATCCTTGGGTAGGTTGAAGTTTATGTACCAGAAAACAATTACTCCTGGAAGCATATTTGTTCTTTTTTCTGGTCAATTTGATCGGCTGTGCTTCAGCTCAGGCATTTTAGTGGAAAGAGTGAGCTAATTACTGGTGCGTGCTTCTTAAAAAACAGGTATTTTAAAGCAAGAATTAATTATCATATCTTAAATGAAAGACATAACATTACACATACATTATTGCACAACTAAAAGTAAGACCAGAACTTAGAGATCTTGAATCTAGTTGATTATCCCCTTTAAAAAGCCAGCAATCAAAGGCAGAGTTTAACTTGTGGCAAAAAGAACTATAAAAATAGTCCAACAAAAAAAGTTTGATTTTGAAAAATGTTTTTCCACATGAAAAACTCCTTAACAAAAAAGCAGAATCATTTTTTTTCCTCAATAGCTTTCCATAGGTGGTTTAAAACTCCCAAAAGTCCTAAATCACTCTCCAAAAGCCAGAATTATTGGGTTTTAAACTGTAAAAATGTTTTAAGGTTGTGAGACAAATATATTTCTTTAACATTTAAAAAAAAAATTATAATTTTGATTGCCTAAAAGGGCATCCATTCATTTCAATTGAAAATGAAAAATTTAAAAATTTTGTTCAGTTGGCAAGATTATAATGACTGAGATACAGTATGTTCAGTTACATAGAATTTCTGAATCATGAACCGACCACATTTCTATGTGTTTTTCTATTGTTCTAATTGTTTGAATTACCCATATAAATCTATAATCTACGTAAGAATCTTTAGCTGTTATTTAATAAGATTATATATATTTTGTAAAGCAGAGGAAGTACGAGATCCAGGATACAAGCGGCCAAAAAATGAGTTTTCTGCTTAGGGTGGCTGGGCTCCCCCTTAGAGATAGGGTGAGAAGCTTGGTCATTCTCGAGAGGCTTGGAGTAGAGTCACTTCTCCTCCACATTGGGAGGACTCAGCAGAGGTGTCTCTGACATTTTTTTTTACAAATTCACCCCTCACGATGGAGGGACTATAGCCCTATTAACACTACCCTCTAAAAACTGATCTATACCAAGTATGGATCAGTTAACCGTGCCGCATTTGGTTCCTTATAACCATATACACACCCCTCTAGTATGGTTCCTCACCTCATAGAGGCATTGGGATATTTAATTATTTGTGGAATGACAGGCGAAAAAGGCAGCCTTTCGTGAATTTATTTCACAGAGGTGGCTTTTAGGAATTTGATATGACAAACGATAGGCTAATCAGGGCTTACAGAAGCAGGAAACAATGACAGACGTTGAGGTTCATCACACTCGTAAGCAGAATCATCACTAGAAATCATGTGGCAAGGTAGGGAAGCTAGTATTTTTATGAATGTTTGAAATTTCATGATTACGAATTCTTTGTTATCCGAAAACCAAGCCTGAATTGAACCGTGCCAAGCCCTATTGATGAACTAGTACCAGTTTAATGCGGTGTGGTTGTGTCTGGCACGCTCCGGTTAAGTTGTGCGTGCCATTTACAGAGCTGGAGGAGGTGTCTGCAGAGAGGGAAGTCTGGGAGTCTCTGCTGAGACTGCTGCCCCTAGCCTGGTCCTGGATGAAGCCGAAGACGAGTATGAATAGTTTACTAACGTTTTTACGCATCCAGAGATCTGTTCCATGAATGGTCTACACAAAGCATACAGCTCTCATTTAACCACATAGCTCCTTCAAAGTTCAAATTATATCAGAACCGAGATTTTATTGTAGTTTGGTATCTTACTGCAGTGCCCTCCACGATGTCCCTCCAGATGGGTTTGTCCCCGCTGCCCTCACTGAAGTCCAGCAGGTTGTCCACCACCACCTGACCTATTAGGTCGTGTCTGGAGAAGCGGTCGAAGTCGTACACTGAGAAATGCAGCTTCCTGGAATGTAGCTCGTTCAGCGGCACGCCGAACTGGAACGTCTCGTTGAACACTGGGTTTAAGGTCTTTCTGTGGACCTGAGAGACAGAAACAATCTGGGTTAATGTGCTGAATCGCACCAAGCTTTCATAAGCACACCTTAGCGAGAAATCTTCAGGACATGGAAAGATTTAAAAACAGTTTGGAAAGGAAACAAATGTAGTTAAAATTTGAAATCTCTTTTCTATTTTTGTATTTAATGAGTTACATTAATCTAAGGAAGACTAGAAATGGAAGAAAGAGATTTATGTAAAGCAATGGGGAAAATCCAATAAAAGCGGAACAAGTTTTATTGGATTTTGGAGGAAAAGCAGCAGCTAAAAGCTTTTGATACAATTAAGGAATCTTTAATGGATGTTGATCAAGAACCTACAAGTACATGTTCATACAATGCTAACATGAAAAGATGTCAGCAATAAACTTAAAATCCGTAATACCATAATGATTGCTGGCAGCCAATCCAATAAGGGTAAATTTGAATTCATATTTCTCCCTGGAGATTAATCTTTCCTTAGTGGAATACATTAAAGACAGCTAAAGATCTTTCCAGCAGTGGGCATCTCAGCAAAGTCATCCCAAGGTTAGACTGAGCAACGTCCAGAGAAGTTGGCACCGAGACTTCAGTTGGCGAAGCTGCTGGAACAAAGTTCCTTGATAAACAATGTTCACAGCCAAGTTAGGAGAGAAAACATCAGCTGTAGGTAGGAGATTTATACACCCAACTCCCTCCCTCCCTTCCCTGGTTAAACCACAATGGTGGAGGGTTGATGATATGGGATTGTTGTGACGCCTTAAGCTCACGATCAAACTTAAACTCCTGAGTTTATGTACCAAGAGCTGAAACTGAGGCCAATCTCTTTGCTGCTTCGCCTAAACTGGGTCACAGCAGCAGATGTACATCATGGCTAGAAGAGCAGAATTACGACTATTTGACTGTTTTGACTATACAAATATAATCTGTTTGCCTTAGAAAACCCATGTTATACATTTAAACTGCACTTACCAGTAAAAGTACATTACTTGCAAAATAAAAATGCTAACTATGTTAATTTCACTAATGAGGAAGAGGTATTTGAAAAATTTGTATTGAAAATGCAACATATGAAGCTATATATTTGATATTTAGGTAATATTTCATTCTCTATAATAAAATGATTTAGCTGCAGTAAAAAAACAAACCTTAATGTTCTTCAACTACCTACTATTAATAATATTACTGCCTTCAGCAATTGTTAAGTCGACACACAATAAATAAAAAGAGACGTATTTAGAACCTCCTCCTCTCATTCCTTAATATTGCCTCTGGCCAGGAGTCCTAATGAATGCAGCATATTACTCAAGCATGGTACATGCTGAACAATTACACAGTAACTCAAGAGCTGTATTGTATGGTATCAGCCCTTATTATTAAATAATCATATCAACATTTTAGTCTCAGCATCGATTTGCTTTGTTGCCGTTTCAGAAACAGGCCAGTGTTTCTCAAAGCTGCAAAGAACTAAAGAGGGATTTTAGAGCAAAGTCAGTGAATTTCTTTTATGAAGATGAGTCTTAAAATCCTAAAATGAGATTTTCAAATAATCTTCTGTGCTGCATATTTGGAAGCAATCAAAAACTGCACCTTTATCTCCACAACAAGGAAACAAAAAACAACAGACAAACAAACGATCTCCTTGGGATTTCTGTCTTTGAACACTTGCTTAGTGATGTGAATGCAGACGTTCAGTTTAGACTCATTGCTGTGATGAGTGATTTAAATATTCAACAAGTGGTTGGTTTGTCATTTCTCAGTGTGCCTTTTTTTTTTAGCTTTGAATAAAAACAAACCTCCCTTCCATTTCTATCCAAAACATTTAGCAAATGTTAAAAACCTCAGTTTCTGTAAATCAAAAACAGATCAAAGGAAAAAAAGGTAAAAGATAAACACCGTTCCTGGTAAAAGTTGACAGTTCTCTACAACATCTCGTCTTCATTAAATGAAAAGAGGACATGAGAACAAGGAATAAAAGCAAGGATAACGCAGAATTAATAAAGTGTCCTGTAGAAACTGCCAGAGATGTGGGATCTTGAGTCAACGAGTCATCTCTATGTCTTGTTTTTGTTCAGTCCAACCACTGAACCAGGTAAGTCCTATCTATACAGGGCAAACTGGATTGGACTCACCTGGTTCAGTGGTTGGGCAGAACAAAAAATGACAGAGATGACGGTACAGCGCCGTGAAGCGGGCGCTGTACCGTCATCGTGGTGGTGAAGGTGGTCATCGTCATGGTGAAGAGAGAGCTGAGTCAAAGAGCGAAGCTGTCGATTTACTGGTTGATCTACGTTCCTACCCTCATCTATGGTCATGAACTCTGGGTCATGACCGAAAGAATGAGATCGCGGATACAAGCGGCCGAAATGGGTTTCCTCCGTAGGGTGGCTGGGCTCTCCCTTAGAGATAGGGTCATCCGGGAGGGACTCGGAGTAGAGCCGCTGCTCCTCCACGTCGAGAGGAACCAGTTGAGGTGGCCGGGGCATCTGGTTAGGGTGCCTCCTGGACGCCTCCCTGGTGAGGTGTTCCAGGCACGTCCCACCAGGGGGAGGCCATGGGGAAGACCCAGGACACGCTGGAGAGACTATGTTTCTCGCCTGGCCTGGGAACGCCTTGGGGTTCCTCCTGAGGGGCTAGAAGAAGTGGTTGGGTAGAGGGAAGTCTGGGCCTCCCTTCTTAAGCTGCTGCCCCCGCAACCCAACACCGGATAAGCGGAGGAAGATGGATGGATGGATGGAGATGACTTGTTGACTCCAGATCCCCCATTTCTGGAATCTGCCTATAAGAAATTTATTGCAGATCCTTTAAATCCTGTAAGCTGTGATTTGGGGCCTTCATAGATTAGCCCTGCTTATCCAGAACATCCTAAAATGCCCCATGCATAAGAAACTGCAACAAGATTCTGTCAGAACCAACACCAACTCATTCAGCAATCTCAATTCAATTCAATTCAGTTTATTTATATAGCGCCAAATTCACAACACATGTCATCTCAAGGCACTTTACAGTTCAACCAGATCATACAGTCAAATTGATACAAAGTTTTCTATCTAAGGAAAACCAGTTGATTGCATTGACTCATTGACTCAAATACAATCCCTCACACTAAGCATGCTTGTAGCGACAGTGGAGAGGAAAAACTCCCTTTTAACAGGAAGAAACCTCCAGCAGAACCAGGCTCAGTGTGAGCGGCCATCTGCCGAGGCCGACTGGGGTTCAAGGAGACAGAAGCAGAGATACAAAAAGCAGCTGTAAAAGGCGGCCCCGTCCAGGAAACACACAGCCAGGCAGACGAGCTCCAAGGCAGCTCCCATGCCAGAGGATGAAGAGAGCACATCCACCCAGCCACGGCCAGAGAAACAGGACCACACCTGAAGACAGGCCGATCTCCAACATCTACAAACAAGGGTGTTGATGGAAGCAACACAGCTGATGTTTCTTTCCTGGATGACGTCACAGCCAAACAGGAACAGACGAGGCAAAGCTACTCTGAGGAAAAGCAGAGAGAGCAGAAGGTTAGAGATTGAACAAACAGATTCTGCAGAATAGGAGAACAGAGAGAGAATGAAGCAGAATGATGAAATGGGGGTCCCTATGTCCTCCAAAAGTCTAAGCCTATAGCAGCATAAATATAGAGAGAGAGCTCAGGATAACCTGAGCCACCCTAACTATAAGCTTTATCAGCTTATAGTTAGCTGTAGTATGCATCAAACAAACCAGCCTTTAATCATGCACTAATATAAATGTTTACCAACCTTTCTTCTCTTGCACCCGTTTTGGAAGATACTTCCCATCACATCCACTTGTTTTGCTTTTAAGATGTCAACTTTGACAACATTGCACCCCTAATAGGTGCAATGATAAAGATATAATTATCACTATTCACTTTTAAGTCAGGGGTCATAATGTTTTGCCTGTGTGATATAGACTCACAGTGCAAGCACAGCAAATATCAAAATTGCATTAAAATGTGTTTTCAAATTTGTTTCTGTTTCCCAGGCTGCTTTATCTGTGGCGTTCCTCTTAAGGTAAAGTAAAAAAAAAACTGCATATCTATGTTAGATTGCTGGAAACAATCAGAGTAAAACTGGTATTAAATGTAGGCTGATTTTGAATGCAGCACTGTCTGCTACCTTCTGGGTCCAGGGACCTCTTCATGTCTGAATGATTCATAGCAAAGAATCAAATGACTTAAAGAAAAGAAAATAATAATAATTAGAGAACGGTTGCAGCAAAAGTTCAAAGAAAAACATTAAAAGACAGCCTAATCATTCCTGGAAGCTCTTGATGCTTGACTGGGAAAAAAACATAAAAAGATGAAGGATTCCAAATGTTGGCACTGTTACAGCCTCTTGCTCTTTCTCCATTTACCTTTTTCTCTACTGAGGGATTATAAAGGATATGACGACCTATTCCACATGTTGAAACCGTCCTTGAGCAGCAACATTAAACCTTAACCCAAAGGCTGACCTTATTCCTCTGCCACAGGGAGAAAAAATAGTTCTTTATTCCATTAGGAAGTAATCTAATGAAATCTACTGCATTGAAACAAGAAGTTTAAATCAAATGTTCTCATTTGTTTTGATTTTTTCAGCACCGGTTTTATGTAATTGTACTACTTCACATTTTTCGGTAAAAGCTCAAATCTGACAGAAAATATATTGGGGATTTCCTTCCCAAGCCTCTTCTACCCTTAATAACAAGTGTCCTATTTGTTGATTAACTGGTGGGAGTGAATTGCTGTGGGGGGTTTCGATATAAATCCTATTGAGCAGCAAGCCGTGCCATAATTTAAACGTGACACACAAACGGCTTCCAGAACAACTTTTGTTGCTGGCTAAGCGGCCCTGACAATCCAGTTTATTAGCACTTGATGATCACTTGTTAGCCTTGGAGGAAACGTGCATCCGACGGAGACACGGCGAGTTTAGAAACAAGAACACAAGCCCCTCCGATCATCTTTTTGTGAGCCAGCGTTTGTTCAACTGTCACAATCAGCCGGGGGAA